AGTCGTTTAATAGGGATTATAATCCTAAAAGAAGCAAAATATTAGCTATGACTAGGGCTTGACACGAAAAGATAATAACTTTTGATCTATGACTCTGATTGGGATGAAACTAGCGCAAAATGAAGGATAAAATCTGAGGCTACATATCCGTAGGTAGAACTAAATTTAACTCTTTCTTAAACTCCTGATATGAGAAAAATAATTTGACGCTTTTATTGGCTACGTGAACATGAAATCCGGGTTGAATCAAAATTACAAAGAGAACATCTAAGGCTCGACTTTACTAAATTATGATATGGTTAGTAATTGAAAGAAAATAGATGATAAATAAATAAAATACACATATGTGCAAATATTGTCATGCATGATGCAATGAAGTTTGCAACCTAGAGTATCGATTCTAAGTTCATGCTAATGGTGGGCTTATTTTTAAGGTGTCTTAACGTACCATGGTTGAGAGTTTAGATGCATAATAAGGCGGCCTCCCTTGACGATGTATGCATACGGATGTCGACTCCATGCTTGGTGATGGATATGAAATCTAAGACGAATCCTTATTTCCATGAGCATTTTGGGATTAGCAAAGCATAAATCCCCAGGGTAGCCACTTACGTAAAACACGTATTTGTGTGGCAAAATTGGATGCATATGCAACAATGTTAGTTAAATTGCAAAAATACATGTCAAAAACCTTTAAGTCTCATCCACATCCACAAATCACCTAAATTGATGGTTAATTAGGAATAATCCCAGTGAAGTCGCCAAATTGTAGGTATTGTAGGAATTGGCCCTAACTTTTCACGTATGTATGTGCCTGGCAATTGTAGGAAGATGTGAAATTAATATTAAATTGAATGGGAGAAAAGACTTAATATGAGCTGCTAAAACGTTTTTTACGAACTTGTAAACCGTTTATGGACTTTAACGAGAGGGACATAGGCAACCAGGTTTTTTAATCCATGAAGGTTACATCACATTCACAATGTATAAGATTGCTAACTCCATAGGGTCATTGTTTCAGGGTTTTTTTCTCCCTCGGGAGAGTTACGTCACCAAGAATGATTTCCCGCCGGCTGTATGTACCTGCAAAACAATGGAAGCTTCGGGTGTTCAGAGTTCCGCCTCTGACGATAAAGTTAGAAAGTGTTTGGAGTGATGTAAAAGTGCGGAAAGTAAAAGTATATCTTCTCGGATTCCAAGATCTGGTGATTTCTCTGTTTTCGAGAGAATTGATTGCGTGTAATAATTGAACGTGTCCCTAAAATGGGGGAAACCTCCCTATTTATAGGGTTGTTCGTAAATGTGTCCCTACCTAGGTCATTCTAACCTAGATTTAGGGGGCTGCGCTGTTTTGCAGCTTTTCTCAGGAATTAGGCGCTAAAGACCGTCTTTTTCCCTTCTGATTGGGAGTGCCATGTGTTAGCTGAGGATTGGTTCATTTTGAAACTCTCCTAAGGTGACACGTGTCACCCTCTAATTGGGCCACATGGCCTGGGTTTTTCTACCCAAAACATTTACCCCTCACAGGGGTGACGTGGCATGCCACGTGGCTCATGTGACACTTGTCACTTAAGCATTGGTGAACAGTTTTTAATTTGTCACCTTCTAGGGAAGTTACAGGGATGTCCCTGAATTTACCCCTCTATAAATAGAATTTTACCCCCCCCTTCATTTTTAACATTTTCAAATAAGTCTAGAGAAAGAAAGTCAAACGTTCTAGAGAGAAAGAATCTGACAACCACCTGTGTATTTCTCAGACAATCGCCTGTGTATTTCTCATACAATTGTCTCATTTCTTGCTTGTCTGTTACAACCGGTCAACGCTTGACCCTTTCCTAAAAATAACTATCCCCTTGCTCTATTCCCCTTGCTCTTTTACCATTTGTGTATATAGCATTGAATTATATAGATTCACCATCAGTACACACGGCACAGCCTAGGTCAGTAGTCAGCCGGTCTCCTAGTACGGCTAAGTCTAGGACTGGAGGTGCCGCCTCTGGGTGTTTGGACCACCCTTGTAACTCCCAAAATCCGACCGTGTCTGTGTTTGTGTAGGACACAATGCGTAGGTTAATGTTGACGACACCTAATCCAGACTATAGAGAGGAAGGTACAGACGGTGTTCCGCCTGATGAGGTGGAACCGGTTGGCGAGGAAAAAGGATCTCCTCCGGGTGCACCTAGCGCTTCTAGTGATAGGATCCTAGAGGAATCTGATAAAGTTGAGTCCGAACAGAGAGACGGTGAAGAGACCGGCTCTGTATCCGGCTCAGAGAAAGACGGTGGAGAGACCGCCTCTGGGTCTGGCTCTGAGGAGAGTAGTGGCTCATTATCCCCGTTTAGGATAGTGAGGAAGAAGAGCAAAAGAAGTGAAATAAAGAGACGGACCCTTTCCGAATCCATGTTTTCGCCAGGGATAGGGCTAACATGGAACAAGGTTTGAAGACTTCAAGAAGAAACGCATTCTTGGAGTGGGCTATACCATACGGGTGCCGCCTAAGCTTGGCATCATTTCTTGGAAAGATAACCAACCAAACGCTAATGAGTACTTTGGCTGTTATGAGGCAGCGTTCTTAACCGGACTCCGCTTCCCCCTCCATGATGCAATAAAGGCAATCCTTCGAGGATACGGATTTGGTGTGTGGCAGTCGACCCCAAACTCCTAGGTCAACATTCTAGGCTACATTGTCGCCTGTGAGAGGGAGGCTTTCGCTCATATGCATTACCTGAGCCGTAACCCAGGCGGATGGAGTGTTTGGTACACATTGAAAACCCATCCGGAATACCTCATGACCTTAGAAAAACCGTCCAAGTGTTATGAGTGGAGGAACATGTTTTATCTTGTTTCTGCCCCCAAACGGCGAGAAAACTTCGAGTATTGCTGCTACAATAAGAAGTCAGATCTGGTTGGCCAGAAGTGCGCCAAGCCAAGGTTCCAAATGCCGACTGGGAGGCAATAATAGAGCCGGAATTCTTTAGGGTGACTACCTTGCCCCTAGCAACTGGCGAGTTAATAAGCATACCTAAAAACTGGGTACCCAAACATGAGTGGTTGAGGGACAAGGCGTTCTTGTCCGCCTACGGTCTGAGCACCATGTTCGATAGACGTACATAGAACAGACATCCGGCAGTTTTATGTCGTCTTTATTGTTTCTAACTTGCAATTCTTGTTTGTTTGATGATCTGAAAGACGGTTCTTTTTATAGAAACCGGCAGAAGCATACTTCCTAATAAGTCTATTTTATATATATTTTTATTGCCCGTCCCACGGTCATATTTGTGCTTATGTGAGCTCTGCTGAGCTATTTGTATTACTAATATACGTTTTCTAGTGTTTTTGTAGAGTTGGTATTATTTTGTAGGAATTTTCAGATTTATGATAATTCCCGAGCTTATTGAGCCACTACGAAGATATTGGAGTCGGATCGTATTTTATGACCGTATATTTGAAGCCCAAGATTGAGCTAATTAAATTAGGTTCGGTGATTAAGGGCTCGGTTCGTTTGAAATACTAATTCTGCTAGTAGTCCAATACTTGAATATAAAGAAAAAGGAATTACGGTCAAAGGAGAAGAGCCCAACAATTAAATCAGCATTGAAGCCCAGCTCGTAGCTTCAGCTGACCGGGCCTGATTGGGCAAGGCGTGGCCCAGTTCGGGCGGATATCAGCGCCTATTCTAGCTGTTTGGGCTTTGTTGTTTTGGGCTATCCAAATTCTTGGATAATGGCGGCAGCAATTCTTGTATTAGCTTTTGGATAAGTTTTGTCAGCTTTTGGATTGTTTTATAATACTTTTAGTTTGAGTGGAATTGGGGTGATTTGACTTTTCTTATATAAAGGGAAGGGAGTAGTCACGTAGGGAGGTAGGTAGTTTTAGTAGTAGTTTATTTTTACTTCATAGATCAGTTTAAGCTTTTTGTCAGTACTTTTTTTTCATTGTTTAATTCATTCGTATGCTTTAGTTTTTTTTGTCATTATTACTTTTATTTTATTTTATTGTTGTTATGTTTACCTTATATGCTTTATCTAGTTTAGATCTAATTATGTGTGATTAGTTTCATATTAGGGTTTATGGGGATCCATAAATAATATAAAGGGGTAATTTATTATTATTGATTGTTAATGTTTCAGATTAATTTCATATTGATTGGTTTACTACTATGCAATTAGATTAGCGCTGGTTTAATTGTATGAGTTATGCAATATTAATTTGAGATGTGAGAGATGAGAATTGATGTTTAGGCTTAGTTTCAATAGGGAAGTTAATTTATAAATGGTTAAGTCAAGATTCGAGAGATGCGATTTAATACCGGTATATTAATTTTGTGATTGTAATACGTAGCGAAAGCCCTTTATGATCTAATTAATTTATGCATTGATAATTGATTGTTTAGTTTTTACCCTGGAATATTGTTTATTGGTGAACCTATACTCTAGGCCTTTTATTATTGATTTTCTCCCTTATTCAACTTGCTTTAGTTTAATTATTAGTTTTACTCTCATAACAATAATTCAGTTACTTAATAGTTTAGATTATATTAATTATTTAGGTATAGAAAGACTTGTTTCCCTGCGGATTCGACCCTACTTCCCTATCTACCTTAGCCAGAGGACTTAGGTAATTCTTTTGATTAGGTGATACGACTTAAGCCTGTCAAAATTTGGCGCCGTTGCCAGGGAAACGGTTTTATTTTATTTCTGATTAATTTTGTAGTCTAGATTATTAAATCTTTTTTTTCTTCTTTCCCTTATGAGTTGAAAATATACATGCTTACGCCACTGCAAGAATTATATTCGTTTTATGCAGCACCTGACTACTGTTGTTGTCAATATCGTCTTGTTCATGAAAATCCTGAATGCCCTTATAGTGAGTTTTTCATGCGTGCTCCGGATGATTTTAGAGTCTTTCCATATACATATGATCATATTCGGAGACGATTGGATTGTAATCCCCCATATTTTCCTTAGTAAATAATAATTATATGTTTATATATACAAATATTTTATAATAATTCTATACTTGTTTGAATAATTTTTCTTTTGAAAAGATTTGACAAAAATAAAAACAAGAAAATCATAAACCCATATTACCATTTTAACTAAGTAAATTACCCCTTTATTTCTCATCATTCACATTTTAATTAAGGAAACTTGCTCCTTATTTCCCCTCTCAAAACCTCCTATAAACTTCTACTGCTTTCCCTTGCCTTCCCCTTCACTCACGACACTCAGACAAAAAAAAAATAAAAAATTTCGCTGCTTCCTCCCTCCACTACTACTGCCTCCCCTGCGCCGCTGCTGCCTCAGCCGGAACCCACCACCGGCGACCTCGCTACAGCCCCGTACCACCACAACCAGTTCCTTTCATCTCCCTTCTCTTCTATCTTCCTCCCTTTTCTTGTTTAAATTCTTCAAAGCTTTAATCTTTACATGAATTTTTCGTTGATTAACAATTATTATAGTTTGATTATGTTTTTGAGTTGTGAAAGATTGCAAATTTAACGAGTTTATGATATGTTAAGCATATAATTAATTTTCAGATTTCATAATTTGTGAAATTAGGGTTTAAAACTTGATTTTCATGGTTTTAGGGCTTAAAAACGTGTTGCTAAAATTATTTAATTTGAGCATGATTTTGTTGTGATTTTGCTATGACTATGATGATTTTTAATTCAACAGCAAGTTCTTAATTTTTCGTAACTAATTTCTGAATTTCCGTTTGTAAAATTTCTTAATCACGTTTTAATCGCATTTTGACCGTAACTCGTCTGATTTTCGAAAAAAAATAGTGTTTTTCGTGTGTAAATGATGTTCTAATCAAAACTCACTACCTATGGTAGTGAGCACTGCGCTCTCGTGGCCAAATTCAGCTTCTAAGTATGGTTTTCGTGCAGTTTTTGATTTTTTATGGAAGGTTTAATTGAGTTTTCATGAAACTAATTAAATTATAATTATATATTTCAAGTTTAGATTGTTGTAGTCCTATATTCTACTATTAAGCTAAAATTTCAGATTTTAATCTTAACTTTAAATAGCTTTAAGTCATGGTTTTATGATGCGTTTTCAAGTTCTCAACATACTAACATACTATATAATGATGATTTCGAATGAAAATGTTTATGCAGTTGTTTATAACTTTAAACTAATTCTTCAGATTATAATTCCACTTTAGAGTTGCTGAAATTTCATGCTACAAGCCATATTTTCATGATTTTAATATACAAGCTTGTAATTGAACTTTGAATTACTAGCTTTGGCTATTGTGAGCAACTTAAAGACATTATTTCAATGATTTAAGTGATTTTAAAATAGTTTAGTATTGCTGTAATATATGTTGCTTGGGTATTAATTGAGCTATTGTTGTTCTGTCTAGGAGAGGACTTCGTAGAGGGTGACTTCTAACCTTAAAGTGGCCAATCAATTTGTGTACTCAAGGTACGTACAAGTATACGAAGAACCTTGACTTTAGAAGCATGTTTAAGGACTTGGAAAAGACCTAGAATCATGTTAGGAGACTTGTGGATTGGTTGAAATTGTTTGGTAATAAGTTGATTGTTGATAAATGTGATGATTGCTTTAATTCATGTATGAGAAATTGCATTGATGTTTCCTATTGAGCATTATTTATGCAATATTTTGCAAGAGAGCTTAGAAGCAAAGCTACAAGTATAAATATATGGAATGAATCGTTTTAACTACTTATGCAATTGTATTGAATTGGAATGATTAAAGAAAGACTTAAAGTCTGATAAGACAGGATTGTGGATTTGAGGTGCCTTATGCACTAAAGGTGTTTATACACCGAGGTAGTTAAAGGATGCAATAATACATGTTGTTTGTCACTAATAAATTAAGAATTGAATTGGAAACTTGAATGATTTGTATGATTGATGTATGATTGGTTGTGTTGATTGCATGCGAGTCGTCACCTAATCTAAACTAGTAAATCACGTAAAGTGCAAGAAGGATGAGCAATAAAACTCTGGATTTGTGCACATCTAGAGTAATGACAAACATGGGTTGGGGTTCACGGGGTATTAGCCGTGTACTTTTCAGAGGCCGTCTGATCTACGAGTCTCTCGTTTAAATTCTTTTAAAAATTATAATAAGTTAGATGAGATCTCATACTAGCTATGACCACGAAGTCACGCCCGTCTGCCATTGGATGTTTATTAATGTCTTCCGAAAGGAGGCATAGGGTTTTCTTATTTAATGTTCCGGAATGAAGCACAGGGGGATAACCCGGTCTATTGCTTAATCCAATCAATTAATGAATTGATCATGCTATTTAAATAAAAACTTAGTAATGAGTAACTATGGAGTCATGTGTTCGAGTCAATGATAATATTGTGAGTGTATGGAATGCTTGTTAGTATCATGCTATAACTCTTTACTATATTTCGTAACTTGTATGTACTCAACGTTGCTGATTGCGTGCTTTTGTGTGTTTTTCTTTGGTCATGGCCTTCGCCTTCAATGACCCTGTAATGATCCAATTATTACACTTGTAATATTGGGGAGCAGATTCATCACAGGTTTTTGCATAAACTGTCTTGCATCAGGGTGATAGGATTTGAGTGGAGAGTTGGTTAACCAGTTAGCTTATTTCATAACACAGATTGAATTTTATTTTGGTGTTGGTTCCATTACTTCCTATTGTACTGGATTTTGAATAAGGGCCGTTATGGTTCCAACTTGTAAGACTTTGAGTTTTGACTTCCAGTTTTGAAACTTATATTCTTTTTAAAACTAAGTTAGTTTTCTGCTGCTGATTTCTGAAACTAGCCTTAACGTTTGAACACGTGGCGGTAGCACTCCAATAATTCTCTTACAGGTTATTCAGGTTTTACAGGTTATACAGGTTTCACAGGTTTTTACAGGTTTTCTTTTAGAGAGAATTATTGGGGTGTTACATGGTTGCAAATGAGAGTTATTGGAAGGCTCTTGATGAAAATGTCTATGGACACTATAATAACATGATTGTGTTTGAGGATGAAGAACCATCGGTTATGGAATTTGTGGTTGAAAAATCATTGGTTGATAAATGGGTGATTGAAAATTCATTAGTTGTAGAAACGGTGGTTGAAAATTCCTTTGTTAATGATGAGGTTATTCATGAGGGTAAAATATTCAAGTCATTATTGGATGATAAAGACAAAGACTACCTCCATGTTCGTTCTATTAATTCTAAATTTTTAGCGGAGGAAGTAGAGGGTTGTGGTATATTCTCATCTCTTTCTTTTGATTTTTCCTACTACCTTGAGTTCTCTTTATGTGCTCATGATATTTTTTATGTAAATCTAACTGTGCTTGCAATTAAGCCCTATCTAGTGCTTAATGAAATGTTTGCAGGAGCGTTTGATAAGTTACTCAAGGCGTAGAATTCTTCCGATTGAAGAGGGATGAATTACGGTCAAGCGGGACCTTGATAAACTAGCGCTTTGCGGGAGGCAACCCGTATTTTATTGTTTTTTATTTTAGTCTTTTCTTTCTTTTTTTGTGTTTTCGTTTGTTTTATTTTAGAGAGGTAAAGAGAGCATATCTTATGCTTGTGGGAGTTTCTATTTGTGTAGGTTTTGATCTAGAAAGGTGTCGATTTAAAAGGAGAAGAAAGCTGGATTGTATTCGGGTTCGCTCGGGCAGAGCTCGCCCGATCGAGCGCACGTACGGATCAGCAAAACTGCTCAAGTTCGACAAGTTGTAACTTTTGCGTTTCTTATCTGATTTTTTTGTGTGACCTATCGTTAGAAAGCTCTTCAAGTGTAATTTCCAACCCAATTGAAATCACTGCATTATCATTATACATCAAAAGTTATGATCAGAATAGTGCACATGACTCAATTTTTATCTTTTTCCCACTAACACTTTGTTTCATTCTTGCCCAAATTTGTTCCAAAGAGATGCATTGCAATCCTCGAGGCTTTGGTGACATTGATTTGGTGATGATGATGAGTAGTAGTCACCTTGACTACTAGCTTCCCTTTAAGACAATGAGGACATTGTCTGATTTTGGCTTGGGGAGATTTTTGGATGAGGTATCTTTCTTTTCTCTCTCTTTTTGTTTTTCATGTGTATAGTTTAGTTTTATTGCTTTCTAGGTTAGTTTTTATTGCTTTAAAATAAAAATAAAAAAAAAAATACGATCCAATGAATAATTAATCATGCTTCCCTATGCCCCATACATGAAAATTGTTTTGATTCTTGGTATATGATGATGAGTATTGTGGATAGGTTAGCCATGATTTGATGTTTGATTGCTTGGATGTCTTAACATGAGTCAATTTTTCCCAACTACTTGTGAATCTAGTGCTTGACTAGTTGGGTTAGGAATGTGTGTTAGTTCCTGGTATGTCAATGAAGTTGAGTATTGGTTTGCAACTTTGTGTAATGTTTGTATGACTCATTATTATGCACATTGAGGAGGACGAAGGCATTTGTTCTCTTAGGTAGCCTTCAGATGATTTTAGATACATTTGTTCCCTTTTTGCTACCCATGTTGTTGCTTGTGCCCTTTTATTGTTTATTTAGCCACATTAGAAGCCTATTTATGCCCCATTGGTCACTATTCTCAAGCTTGGCTTGGGGGAGCTAATAGTGAGTGAGGTGAGGGAGTTGTAGTGTGCACATAATTTGCACAATGTGGGTAATAAGAGAAGTTATTTATTTGTTCTTATTTTGTGAATTGGAAAAAAAAATTAGAAAAATTGTTGTTCAAAGTTGAAAAAATTCCAATGTGAGATAAAAAGGAAAAAAAAGAGCAAAACAAAAAAATTGTTTAATTGCTCAAATGTTCTAATTGAAGGTTGCTCAAAAGAAAGAAAAGAAAAAAAAAATAAAAGAGTTCAAAGATTGTTTATTCACTCTATTTCCTTATGTTATATTTTATGAGTGAAGTTGTAAGTGTTGAAAATTTGTGAAATTTTGGATTGATTGTTTGGTGAATTTTTGTAGAGTTAAGTTTTGTTGGAGATGATTTAGTCATTATTTAATTTTGACCTTGGTTTTTTTAGGATTTTGACTCTCTTAAGCATGGCTTTACTTTCACATTTTCCCAAATTTATCCTACCTTTTACCCTAAGCCCTACATTACAAGTTTTGAAGACCTTCCGACCTTTGTGCATAGAGTTGTATGAATGTGAAATTAGTTGTTTTTCAATGCAAAGAATGATTTGATATATTTCGAGTCGACTACTAGGTTGAGTGTATGTCTTTTAAACACACAAGTATTGTGAGTTTGGGAGGGCATTGTTCACATTAAAGGGGTTGGATGGAGAGTGATCGGATACATTTTATATCCGCCACATAAAAGAGTGAAGAGTGCGTGAACGCTAGTCTTGTATTCCATATACACTTGTGGTTTTCTCTACTTGACAATTGTTAGGGAGGATGAGTAGTTGGATGGATTTGATTTGTTGATTTTGATGCATATTTGTTAGATTTGCCTTGAATTGGTTATGTTTGGTTATAATTGATTTTTGGGGTGAAGTATGTTTTACTTGTTCATTGATGAGCTTTTTGCTTTGGGACAAGCAAAGGTTTGGCTTGGGGGAGTTTGATAAGTCTATTTTATATACATTTATTCCCCGTCCCACGGTCATATTTGTGCTTATTTGAGTTTTGTGGAGCTATTTGTATTACTAATATACGTTTTCTAGTGTTTTGTGGAGTTGGTATTATTTTGTAGGAATTTGCAGATTTATGATAAATCCCGAGCTTATTGAGCCACTACGAAGATATTGAAGTCGGATCGTATTGTATAACCGTATATTGAAACCCAAGATTGAGGTAATTAAATTTGGTTCGGTGATTAAGGGCTCGGTTCGTTTGGAATATTAATTCTGTTGGTAGTCCAATACTTGAATATGGAGAAAAAGGAATTACAGCCTAAAGGAGAAAAGCCCAACAATTAAATCAGCATTGAAGCCCAGCTCGTAGCTTCAGCTGACCGGGCCCGATTGGGCGAGGCGTGTCCCGGTCCGGGCGGATATCAGCGCCTATTCTAGCTGTTTGGGCTTTGTTGTTTTGGGCTATCCAAAATCTTGAATAATGGCGGCAGCAATTCTTATATTAGCTTTTAGGATAAGTTTTGTCAGCTTTAGGATTGTTTTATAATACCTTTAGTTTGAGTGGAATTTGGGTGATTTGACTTTACTTATATAAAGGGTAGGGAGTAGTCACGTAGGGAGGTAGGTAGTAGTTTATTTTTACTTCTTAGATTAGTTTAAGCTTTTTGTCAGTACTTTGTTTTCATTGTTTAATTCATTCGTATCCTTTAGTTTTTTTTCGTCATTATTACTTTTATTTTATTTTATTGTTTTTATATTTACCTTATTTGCTTTGTCTAGTTTAGATCTAATTATGTGTGATTAGTTTCATACTAGGGTTTATGGGGATCCATAAATAATATGAAGGGGTAATTTATTATTATTGATTGTTAATGTTTCAGATTAATTTCCTATTGATTGGTTTACTGCTATGCAATTAGATTAGCGCTGGTTTAATTATATGAGTTATGCAATATTAATTCGAGATTCGAGAGATGAGAATTGATGTTTAGGCTTAGTTTCAATAGGCATGTTAATTTATTAATGGTTAAGTCAAGATTCGAGAGATGCGATTTAATACCGGTAGATTAATTATGTGATTGTAATACATAGCGAAAGCCCTTTATGATCTGATTAATTTATGCATTGATAATTGATTGTTTAGTTTTTACCATGGAATATTGTTTATTGGTGAACCTATACCCTAGGCCTTTTATTATTGATTTTCTCCCTTACTCAACTTGCTTTAGTTTAATTATTAGTTTTACATTCATAACAATAATTCGGTTACTTAATAGTTTAGATTATATTAATTATCTAGGAATAGAAAGACTTGTTTCCCTGGGGATTCGACCCTACTTCCCTATCTAGCTTAGCTAGAGGACTTAGGTAATTCTTTTGATTAGGTGATACGACTTTAGTCTGTCACTTCCTGAAGGCAAGACACCTGCCCGCTCTACAGCTCAAATAAGGAAAGACAACGTAGAGAAAAAGAGGGCCCAACTGGCGGCCAAGGATCATGTATAAACCGCCTGCCCTAGTCTTTCTTCCCTTTCTCTTTATGTATAGAGACGGCTATGACCGACTGTATACTTATTGTTTGCATTTTCCTATCCAAGATGGAAACAAGGGGCCTCCTAGATCCCTTACCAAACTAATCAAGCGGAAGCCGGATGACGAGGTCCCAAGCTCGGCTAAGTCCAGGAAGGTTTTTCTACTCAGACGATTCCTGATCTTCCGCTTGGGAAAGGTCGTCTGACCATCGATGGGAAAAGTATTAAGAGCTTTGGTATGGGAATATACCTTTCAAACAAGCCGGGTGCCTCTAAAGTGCCAAAGGGTGGCGAGCCACCCAAAGCTGCAAGCGGTTCTGTAGCGGCTGTGAGCAATCTAAGCCTTTAGTAACATCCCCAAGGTACGGACGACCCCTTTGACTCCCCCTTTGAGCTTAGTTGGCCCATGCGGGTCAAGTCACACTCTCAGCTACAGTTGGAGGGTTCTTCATGCAACCGGCAGTCTATTGGTGGCGCCTATGTAGCTTACTCACCAAATCTACCTTCTGCTGTAGATCAATCCCCCCGGTGGCCAGTTGTGCAACAATTCTCCAGGACCATGCTGAGGTCTATACCCAAGGAGGATAAGGAGGCCATCCTTGGGATTCAATCGTTCAATGTCAAACGCATCCTCACCCTTCTGTCTGAGGTATAGTTACTTAGTTTAGATTCTTT